GTATAGGCTGGACTACCTGTAATAGCTCTCTTGATAGACCACATCAGTCCCTTGACGAAACTATTACGCTTCTTCTCCTCTGTATCCACCTCCTCCGATGCAAAGAGAGACAAGCGTGTGAATTGCTGCTCATACTCCGCCACTGTCATGTTTCCCTGCTACAGATTTAGAAACTCGGTCTTCATAGCTGCCCTGACTACATAGGGAAAATATTTCTCCTCAAAGCGAGCACTGAACTCATCATAAGTCAATGTCATCCTCTCCTCTGGGGTGGTAACTGACTCCCACCACTATAGTGCATCCCAACTAACATGAAAGTAGCAAGCATCTGCTTCTGAACCTTCGTGCACTGAACCAAACGAAGATGATGCTCAATGTCCTGCTTCCACTGGTGAGCTGCTCTCGCATTGGTGGAGCCTGAGAACACAGGTGGACTCCCCTTTGTGAAAGAGCTCCTAGCCTTTCCCCAAGAATCCGTCTGAACCACTGGTGCTGGTACAGGTGCCTGCTGAACCTGTGGTTGGTTCCGGAGTACAGCTGTTACCCCAGCCTCTATAGCCCGAGCAACAAGGTCATTGAGGTGTGGAGGAATCTCTGGATCTCTGGATCTCTGTCCCGACCCTGAGTCTGTTAAACTTCCTCCTGCTCCTCCTGAAACCCTGGCATTTGCTGCTCTTCTTCCATTTGCCGACGTTGTAGTCGTTCCTGCTGTCTACGTGCCGCTCTCCTCTGTCGACTGTTCATGTTCTGTCCTCTTCCAGTGTTAACCATGCTGTTAACATAGAAAGACAGACATCAATACAAGTTTAAACGAACCGTAAAAGAATTCAACGAATCCTAAACGTAAGCTCTCTATAAAAAAAAACGCTACGCGGAAGTCTTAATACGACGTCCTAGAGACACTTGAACCTGGGGTGCTCTGATACCAACTGTGATACCCCTCGGATCCGAGACACGGGTTGATCAGGCCCAGGCCCAAACCCGAGGGAATATCAAACAATTTAAGTATTTTAAAACGAACACAGATGACAAAAAGAACAATAAAGATAGAATAAAACTGCAAGAAATAATAATAATAAAATCCTCCATGTGTAACTGAAAATTAAAACTCCAATCCTTCAAAACTTCAAAGTTACAACTTGGGAATCCACTGATGGACCCCTAACTAAAAATTCAACTGAGACTGAAACTGAAAATAGATAATACTAGAAACATCGGGGGAAGTCCTACGTAATCCGGTGAAAGTAAGACTGTCCTCGACAAGCACGATCAAGCTCTAAGGCTGGAACTGTCCTGTACTTGAAAAGAATAATAAAGGAGTGGGTCAGACCCACGAGCAAGTTCTAATCTAACTGCAATCCATACAGTGACCCGATACGCAGATACACCATAGACATCTCACAATATCTATCTAGTCTATACGTATAAATATATCCATACTAAGGGACATTCACTAGTCTATAATAGGGGTCTCAACCTGAATAGAAGGCAACATGCGAATACGCACCCAAAGGTGGGCATGCGTACCTAGACCTAACAGGGTACACCTCAACCTATTATAACCAGCTACGCATCCACTGCATATACGCACCCTAACCAACGAGTCTGAGACTCAAGCTCAACTCGTGGTACCATAAACATATATATAAAGTCCGTCCAAATCCAGGGTAAGCAGTTCAACTATTTATTAAACTGACCTACAATACACCAACTAGTTAGTCACTCAACTTATTCAGTTGATATGACTTAACTACCATCCGTTAAACCAGGAAGTCATCCAACTTGGTTACAGCTGATCTGACTTAGTCACAATTAGGATTCGATATCTTACAATCCATTCCATTAATCCATTAGGTTAGGTCTTAGCGTTTTGAAGCTAAACCATCCCTAGTATGCCACCGTCCCATACCAGTGCATATAATCCTCCATATCAATGCCAATTACAATATAGAAATCATAATTTAGTAAATTACATTCCAAAACATTATCCAAATAATTGCAGGAAGATATTTGATGTTCTAGCAATTAAAAATCCAAACGATAATCCATATCATTGGAAAAAGTATTTACTATTTCAACAATTAGCCTCCAAAGCATGCATAGGTCAACTTCAATACATCAATGACCCTATAATGTATTTAGAACAATTTATAAACATATTAGATCCCACTGGAATGCTCAAAAATAAGCTTGAGCAATTAAGTCTTCTTCCATCCCTTAATCGTGTACAATGTGCATAAATTTTATACAGTTTGTTCCGTTAATTTAGAGGTAAACTTTAATCAATTAAAAGTCCTATTAATACCCAAAGTTAAATTCTTAATCACTATGGCAAGTCCCAATATTTTTTTTAAAACAGTTCCAACACACAACAGCTTCAAACAGTGCATTAAACACCTTCCGGAAGCAAACTGAGCGAGAACAGGTTATGAACAAAGGTGGAGCCGGCTCCAATTTTTATTGGAGTCTACTCTACTAAGGTAGAGCCGGCTCTACACCTCCTAGAGCCAGCTCTACACTAGGGGGGAGCCGGCTCCCTCCTCCATGGAGCCGGCTCTCTCCCTCTCTGAGAGCCGTCTGTCCGTCTGTGACTTCTGCGACCTTCTTCTTCAACGCCGGCCACTTCCCATCTGTTCTATTTAGTTTTAGACTGTTCCCAAGGGTCCTAACTATGTCCAGTATAATCCTCATGAAGTGTTTACAACAGTTGAAATCAAAAACAAAAACTACAAGTTCCACAGACAAATCATGCTTAGGAAAACAACTACTGTAATAAACTTTAAAAAAACCCATCACCGAATTTATTCAAGGCAAAGATAAGGTTAAATTGACATATAAAAATATGCTTAATTTAATTATTGATCCATTAGAACCCTAGAGTATATCTAGGTGCACAGAACACAGGCCAACGGGAAGGAGGAAGAAAAGAACTTGCCTGAAGTTTTGGACTCAAAACTTGTCGCCGTCTTCCCAACTTCCGGTAACCACTGCAACACTGTCTAGTCTCCTAATACCTCTGCCCTTCCCTTCTCCTAGGTCCAACCCTGAAATCCCCGTCGAATCCCACACCAAACAAAATCTGTTCTCTCAAAACCTCACTCTGTATCTCTCTGTTTTTATGTTACGCGAGTAGAGTCTTTTTTTTTTCCAATCCTTAACACCAAGAAGCATGTATATATATAGGCGTACAAATCCCAAACCCTAATCCTTGTTTAATAGAGACAGAGCCCTCCTTGGCCCATAAACCGACCTATGATATATACATTGCCGGCTATAAACTGAAACCCTAATATAACTATATGTGTCCCATACAGTCCCGTGAAAACCAAATTAAACAAAACAAATATATTTACCACTTAAATAATTAACTATAATTAAATAAATTAAATCAAAACAATTAACTCAATTAAATTAAAACAATTAAATCAATTTACTAATTAAAACACTTAAACACTTAAACAATCAAATTAATTCAACTAATCACTCATAATCAAATAAAATGCAGTTAAATTAAATTAAAACAATTAAATCCATTTACTAATTAAAACACTTAAACAATTAAATAATCAATTTACTAATTAAAACACTTAAACAATTAAATAATCAAATTAATTCAACTAATCACACATAATCAAATAAAATGCAATTAACAACTAAATTAAAATCCCCGGGATATCCTTTTTAAAATTAGGGGTATTACAATACCTGCCTATCACCTGATTCGCAATAAGTTGGGAGTCACTAAAAACCTTAAGATATCTTACCTGGAACTGGTTTGCTAATCAAAGCACGGCGAGCAACGCCTCATACTTGGCTTTGTTGTTAGTATCAGGAAAAATCAGGTGAATTGACTGCTACAACTTAGTGTTTTCAGGGGTTGTGATAATGACACCAACTCCAGCACTAGCCAGGTTCGAGGAACCGTCTACCCGAAGCTCCCATTGTGGTTCACGAGGGTCTGGCTCTTCGGGCTTATCTTCATACTCAAGGAGGAAGTCAGCTAATGCTTGTCCTTTATGTGATACCTTTGGCTCATAAGATATATCGAAGGAATTGAGTTCAATTGCCTACTTAGTTATTCTTCCAGATGAGTCTGGCTTGGAAAGAATAGCTCGCATGGAATAGTTGGTTAGAACTATGATGTTATGCTACTCAAAGTAGTGTCGAAGCTTCTTCTTTGCATATACTAATGCTAGTATGATCTTTTCTGCTTTGTTGTACATTGTCTCAGCATCTGTCATTGTCTTACTTGTGTAGAAGACTGGATACTGACTCTTCCCTTCCTCTCTGATCAGCACGGCACTTGTGGCTATGCCGGAGATTGCTAAATACATAATAAGGGTCTCGCCAGGCTTTGCAGCAGATAAGATTAGAGGTTTAGCCATGTAACACTTGAATTGATTGAAAGCAACTTGTTGTTGGGGTCCCCATATATCCTTATTCTTGGATCTGATGGCATCAAAGAACGGTCTGCACTTATCTGACAACCGAGAGATGAAGCGGCTAAGAGCTGTAATTCGGCCAGTTAGAACATGTACTTCTTTGTGAGTTTTCAGTTCCTGATTCTGTATAAGGGCCTGAGCCTAGGCTGGGCTCACCTTAATTCCTCTTTTGTTGACAATATGGCTGAGGAACTGCCCTGAAGAAACTGTAAAGGAACACTTCGAAAGATTTAGCTTCATGTTATACTTTCTCAAAGTGTCAAAGACTTCCTGGAGGTATGTAGGATGATCCTCCTTCTTTACACTCTTAACCACCATGTCATCGATGTAGGCCTCAATTGTCTTTCCCAACATCTCATCAAAGATCTTATCAACGAGGCGTTGGTAAGTGGCTCTAGCATTCTTGAGTCCGTAGGGCATGACTCTGTAACAGTAAGTGCCTTTCTTTGTTATGAAGGCAGTCTTTTCTTCATCTTCTGGATTTATAGGGATCTGGTTATATCTAGAGTACACATTGAGAAATGTGAGTCTTTCATAGCCAGTGGTAGCGTCGACCATCTAATCTATTTTGGGAAGTGGAAAGCTATCCTTCGGGTAAGCTTTGTTCAAATTGGTGAAATCTATGCACACCCTCCACTTTCCATTCTTCTTTTGCACTACCACCACATTCGAGAGCCATTGCGGATAGTGCACTTCACGTATAAAACCTGCTTGAAGCAGTTTGTTTACTTCTTCAGCAATAATTTGATTACGCTCAGGGGTGAACCTTCCAAGTCTTTGCTTCACTGGCTTGAACGTCGGATCCACCTTCAGGCTATGGCATGAGAATGAAGGATTGATTCCTACCATGTTTGAATGATCCCAAGCAAACGTATCTGCATTCCATCGTATGACATTAATTAATGCTTCCTTTTCTTCAGTTGTGGGAGAAGAGCCTATATAAGTTACTTTATGTGGATTGCTAAGGATTACTTCAACAGCCTTGAGGGATTCCTCAGTAGGCTTTGTTGCTTCAGCTTCATCCTCATCCTTTGATTTCAGGTACTTGGGCAGAGGGCTCTGTACTATTTGGACATATTCTCAGGAGTCGCAACTGGCTTAAGATGCTTAAATACCTTCCTTGCTTCATTCTATGTCAACATGTAGTATTCTTTGGCTGCGACCTACTCTCCCCAAAGATTAATAACCTCCTTACCGTCCAGAGACAAGCATCGCATCACTTGATGAAGGGTAGATGGAACCACATTCATTCGGTGGATCCAGCCTCTTCCCATAATAAGAATATAAGAAAGATGGATCTCCGTTAGAACAAAATTCTCCTTTAGTGTCCTCTTTGCTGCGGTAACGGATAGGTGAATTACCCCAAGGGGGTCTACTTTTATGCTATCAAATCCCATCAAGGTACTAGAGGTGGGCCGAATTGATTGTGATTGAATCTCCAGCTGCTCAAAGACCGCCTTTGTGATGATATTGGCTCTACTACCCGGGTCTATCAAAACCCTCTTGATCATGCAATTTGCCACCAGGAGACTAATGACCAACAGATCCTCGTGGGGGAGCTGAACTCTGGATAGGTTCGCATCGCCGAACCTAGTACTGATACTGCCTGAAGCAATAGTGTTTACTGAGGATAACCTTCTTAGCTTATGGGCTGCCCTCAGTCTGGATCTATATACCTCCTCTGACTCTTGATCATCCTCCGATCTCCCATGTATTGCATGGATGACCTTCACTTGATTACCTTCTATTTTCTGAAGATTGACCTCCTGGGGCTTCACGTACTCCTTTGTTGTGAGGTAGTCTGCTAACTCACCCCTCACTATCATACTTTTCACTTGTCACCTAAGGGATCTGCAATCATTAGATGTATGCCCGTAATCTCTATGGCAGGTGCAGTGCTTGCTCTTGTCCCTCTGCTTCAAAGGTTGCTTCATTAGCTGAGGGGCTGCAAACCTCAATTTATTTTCTTGGAATAGCCGAGCTAGGGTTGTGCGAAGAGGTGTGAATCTTTCCTCTGTCCTTTGCCTTTTCTCAGGTTCCTGAGTAATTGGTGTTGGAGTGTGCTGGGTTTTTTGGCTTTTTGAATTTGAACCCCTTTCCCGAGGCTTGTTCTCCACTGTGACGAGGGTGGCATGCTGCGCTCGGTGGGCCACATTTTCCTCAAGTCGGATATAGATCTGTGCCCTAGCATTGAGAGTCTGCATATCCGAAGGGGAATACTTAACTAGAGATGTATGGAACTTGGTTCCTTGAATCATTGCGAGCTTAAACGTTTCTATTGCAGTATCAGGATGGCAATCTACTATTTCCGAAGCCTCCATGTTAAATCTGGACAAGAAATCCTGTAACGTTTCGCCTTTCTTTTGCCTTATGGTGAAGAGGCTAGCAATACTCTTCTTTTGCTTTTTGTTTCCGCAATACTGTGCCAAGAACATAATGCACAGAGTTTCATAGTCCGAAATAGATTTGTGTGGCCTATTCCTGAAACACTCCAATGTAGCTCCTGTTAAACTGGTAGGAAAAACTTTGCACATCCATGGATCGTTGTAATCGTCCAGAGCCATCTTTTATGCGTAGTGATGTAGGTGCCGAGAAGGATCTCCCGTACCATTAAACTAAGTAAAGGAAGGCATAATGAATTTCTTAGGTCTTTTAACAAGATATACATCATTAGTGAATGGAGTCTTTACTAGAGAATTCTTATGCTTTCTGGCCATCTCGGCTGGTGTTTGAATTCTCAGGAGTCTTTTCTCGTCAAAGGCATCCTGTACACCTACACCATCTGGAATGCCATTAGGCCATACCGTAAGCTTACGGTTGGACTTGGCCTGTTCGTCTTGCGTGCGACGAGGAAGATTGTCTGAAGTAATGGCCTCGGTCCTTGTCCTCTACTCTTGCTAAACTTTGTTGGGTTGAGCTTCATTAGACTGCACCCCATTGACCTAAGGCTCGTTAACCTGAGGAGCGTTTTGGTTAGGAGGAGGCACGGCCACATAAACTGGTGGTAGCTGTGGTGTCATCTGAGCCATAGTTGTTTGAAGGGTGTTATTTTGCTGTTGAAGCAATGCAATTTGGGCTACGCTGGCTTCGTTCACCTGACGAAGTATTTCAAATTGGTGCAAGAACTCTTCTTGCATCTTTTGCATCAATTCCATCTACTGGTCAGCCGTTGTTACAGATTCTCTTTTCGACATTCCAGATCTTAGTAAAAGAAATGATTTGAAACAATAGTGGGAGTATATTTCTATATGGTTCCCACAGACGGCGCCAAAGTGTACGTGCAAATTTTCTCTTTATTAAAAGAAATAAAAAGAAAAATACAACTCACTCAAAAATAAGCAAATATAATATTTAGAGAAAAACGTAGAATGCTTGATTATTTTATTAAAGGTTTGGGCCTCTATTTATACACGAAAAGGTGGTAGAATTATGGTAGGACTCGCATTACTTGTCGTCCAATTCTTCCCTTATACAACCTTTTTTACAAATTGAGTTCTTTCCTCTTTATAATTCTTTCTATGCCAGACTTTTCCTTGCACAGAACTTGCCTTTTTTGTTGAATCCTTTGCCTAGCGGAACTGGTCCATCTTTAATTGAAGTTGGGCTGGATTTAACTGGGTCCAGACAACTTGGCCAAATGGCTAGAAGTTCAATATTAATGACCTTGGGCTGTTGACGTCTTTATTGGGCTTAAATAGGGCTGGATTTTTATGGCCCATTAATAAAATAAGAACAAAGCCTTAATTATAGCTACGTAGATGATTTTTAATGAAGGGGGATTTATCCTTCCATAGTCTGTTATTAAGGCAGGTAAACCAAGCCCATGTGCCATTAGTGGCAGTATGGGGAATTTGCTAAGAAATCATTGGATCTTTTGTAAGAAGAAGACACTCTTATGGATTTTATATAGGTTCAGGCAAAGATTTTGGTACATGCACATTCAGTTGTTCACCAAGAGCGACACGCGCCCACGCGCTCCTGTGAGTAGATCTCACTCGCACCCACGCGCTTCTTCTTCATCATCGCTTTTGTAAGCTGTCCTTGGTGGGTTTCTCGCTCGCCAAAAAACAAATAAAATCCATCCTTTTTGTTGCAGCATCATACTCGATAAAATCCTCAATTTGTTGAAAAGCCCACCATTTTTTTTCTCATGGATTATAGAGTTTTTCTCCCACTTTCTCTCTGTTTCCTCTCCTTATGCCCAAGTCTTTGTCATTCTGCCACTGAAACATATCTATTTCTCTCTCTACTTTCTCTCACTATGAAATTTTTATAAAATACCCATTGAATAACACAAATCATAGTTGGTTTTTTTGTTTTTTTTTCTTAGGCAAAGTTCGGTGCTTAGATTAACTACTGGTGCTTCGTCTACCCCGTTTGATGATTATTCTTCCATGAACCCTGTGGGTGTTGACTAGTGAGGGAAGAAAGGCCCGTTTGTAACGGGTTGATCCAAATTGCTCTTTTTTTAATATTATATCAGATTGTGATAGGTGTAAAATTATAATATGGCCATGCCAAATTACAGGACAAAACTTGTCCTCATAGAGTAGGATGCAAACATTATCCTATGGTTATTATCCAAGTTAAAACCAAATTCTTTTTTTTTTTTCTTTTCCTGTTTCAAATTTCGTAACTCTGAAATATATATACGAGAAAAACTATATTCAAATATAAGTTAACATCAAATTTTTATATAATATTTTAAGTTCATATTCTTTCCTTATTTATATAGTACATTCTTTAAATAAATTTAGCAATTTTTCAATTGAGTAATGCTACTATGAGGTGTCTCTCATGAGATTTCTCATGAGCTTTCTCTTTTTTTTGTATGATTATGTACAAATATCGGGGCATGGACTCAACTACTTGAAAAAAGACTAAACAATGATTATATAGTTAAAATTTCATTCAAAAATTCATTAACAATAGATCACACGAGTCGGTCAAAGTTAATAATGTAATTTAGAGAAGAAAAATAGTGTAAAATTTTGATCGACTAATGCGATTTACTGTTAATGGATTTTTTAACGAAATTTTAAGTAAATAATCTTTGTTTAGACCCCTTTCAAGTGCTTAAATCTGTGCCTCAATATTTGCACATAATCATGACAAAATAAGGGAGAGCTCATGAGAAATCTCTTGAGAGAAAAGTGGCATTACTCGTTTCAATTTAGGTATATAGCTCAGAGCTCAGAGCAGAGCAGGTATAAGAGTTATGTTGACAAGAGGAGGAGATCTTTGTCCTTTGAGGTAGGGGACCATGTCTTTCTCAAGATTTCTCCATGGAAGGGACTTCTGAGATTTTGGCAGACGGGCAAGTTGTCTCCTAGGTTCATTGGACCATTTTAGATTTTGGAGCGCGTCGGTGAAGTTGCTTATCGTTTGACACTGCCGCCAGACCTGGATAGGGTTAACGACGTCTTTCATGTATCTATGTTAAGGAAATATGAGCAGGATCCATCGCATATTTTATGGTGGACAGATGTTGTTGTTGATTAGGATGTGACCTACGAGGAGGGTCCAGTCTAGATTCTTGATTCACGGGAGCAGGTCTTGCGGACTAAGACCATTCCATTGGTTAAGGTCTTATGGAAACATCACGGTGTTGAGGAGGCTACCTGGTAGCTCGAATAGGAGGTTTGCTCTCGGTATCCCAATTTGTTCTCTCTTTCAGGTACGACTTGATTTCGGAGACTAAATCCTTTTAAGGAGGGTAGGTTGTAATGACTTGGTCCTTTTTGTCCTTTTCCCTTTTCGGTGATTTTCTTTTTTCGTCTTTTCCCTATTTTGTCTTTCTCATTTTTCATTTTTCCTTGCATAACCTCACTTTTGTGCTCGGATTTGAAACCTGTTTTGCATGCATTCATGATATTTGATTTTCATGACATTTGTAATTTTACTTTTGTAGAAAATACATTCTAGTTGCTTACTTTTTCATAAAGGGCATAGATGTATACTTTATTGTAATTATTCTTAATTTATGAGGTTTTAGTGTAATTATGGAAAGTAATTATTTTTCATTTTAGGGACCTTTTTGTAATTTAAATTGTAAGATATTTTGAAAAAGGACCTTTTGTAATTTTTGAAAAATGTGACAAGTGTCACCTTCTCATGGAGCCACTTGTTGGCATTGTGGTGGGGAGACTTGGGTGCATCATCTTGTGATATTTGGAGGGTGGAGATTCATCCACTTGTTGGCTTAGATGGTTGACAAGTGTAGGCTTAAGATTAAGTTTAGGAAGCAGCCATTGATTTGTGACAAGTGTAGGCTCACAATTGTGTCTTGCATTGTGTGTGTGTGTGTGTGAGGTAATGTAAGAGCACATAGTGAGTGGAGGAATACTAGATCCTCCATTCACCATTTTAATTTTACCTTTCTCATTTCCTTTATTCTTCAAAACCGTAGCCTATCCACCATTGGAAGAAAGCTTAATTAATAGTTTATTCCTTCATTTTAGCCTTCTTCCATTCACCATAAACCATAAACCTTGGGAGAGAAAAGTTCCTTTATAGTCTCCTCTTCATAAACCCTAGACTTGTTTTCCATTCGGTGCTTGGTTGCTTAGATTATAGAGATTCAATTCTCTATTGAGGTAGGGGTGGTAGTATGTTTATACTTCAAGTGTTTTAAGTCCTTTGGGGTTTAATATATATTGTATACATGCTTCAATATGATAGTCTTGCATATTACAGGAAACCCTCACTTATTGACTTAGGGTTGTTGATTAAGCATGTATAATTTGTATATACCATATGTAAAAAGATTATATGGTTTAGTGATGTGTTAAATTCTAGTATTTTCACATATGGTAGTGATATAGAACTCTTGTAGCATTATAGATGCCATATGAAATTTCTATTGATTTAAATTGTTATCTTATGGTGGTGATAATTCCATATGTTTGTTGAGGACTTATTGTGGTTATTTTAGAACTTATTGCTAAATTGTTAAGGATTAGTGTATAAAGCTTATTGTTGGGGCATGATTTAAATAAATAAGTTGGTGATATTATTTTGTACATTATGTCATGATGAGTACTTGTCATTTATTATGCCATTCTAGACTTGAAACCCTAAGACATGGTTTGTGTGGTTTCAAAATGCTTGTGCATGGAAGGTGGTATATATACCTTAATATTGTGTATAAGTTTTGAGCTTTATATATTTTGGATTCTCTTGGGACATTGTTACAAATGACATGGCTAGAGTTTGGCTCTAGTGCGGGAGGTATGAGTTATCCCCAATCGAGATAGTGCGCACTAGGGTGGTCTTCTCAGCGGGTTAATGCCTGGAATAACCATTGAGGTCTCGGCAGAATTCCGAGCTTAGATGTCCAAGGATTTCACTATTTGATTTCGCATTTATTTACAAGTTGACAACTAATGTTTAATTGTAACTTGTGATTTTGGTTATTTGCGAATTGATGTTGTTAAGCACATTGATATGGTTATTGCATTGTTATAGAATCATTTAAGTTAGCTTAAGATGATTCCTTAGAACACCTTAAACATAGACGTTAAGTGGAATGCTCCCTTGTATTCGTCTATATTGATCTTGCAAT